GCCCCGCGCCACTCCAGGAAGCGCTGTGGCCCCTTGGGGGGGGAGGGCTCCAAGGATGCTGCCCTTGCCACGCCTCCAGGTACCTCCCCCGAAGCTCCCATTGGTTGCAGTTCCCCATTCCCGGCCAATGGGAGCTGCGGGGGAGCGGTACCTGAAGGCAAGGGCAACGCACGGAGCCCTCTGCCCCACCACCTGGGGGCCGCAGGGACGTTGTGCCCGACGCTTCCGAGAGCGGCGTGGGGTCCGCGGCACCACGAGGGGGGGGGGGTAAGTCCCGTGGGCCGGATCCAAAGCCCTGAGGGGCCAGATCTGGCCCATGGGCCGTAGTTTGCCCACCCCTGCCATAAGGGGTCTCTACCCTGGGTGGGTTTGCTGTTGCTTTATACTTCTGGATCACCAGATGAAGCTTCCCCTACATTCAAAGTCTCTCTCTTGTGGGGACTCTTCAATGTATGATAATGGGTGAGCTCTGACTGAATCTTTCCCACAGTCAAGGTATTTCTAAGAGCTGTCTCCTGTGTGGCATCGCCGATGTTTCAGTGAGCGTTGAGCTGTTCTTGAAGCTTTTCCCACAGTCCAAGTCTTTTTGGGTTTCCTCTCTTTTGTGGATCATCTCACGTGAAATCAGGTTTGATCTCCACATGAAACTTTTCCCTGTAGTTGAGGCATTTGTGAGGTTTATCTCCAGTATGGATTTTCTGATGTCTAATATGGGTTGATCTCTGAGTGAAACTTTTCCCACAGTCGAGGCATTTGTGGGATTTATCTCCAGTATGGATTTTCTGATGTCTAGTAAGAGTTGATCTCTGAATGAAGCTTTTCCCACAGTCCAAGCACTTGTGGGGTTTCTCTCCAGTATGGATTTTCTGATGTCTTGTAAGGGTTGATCTTTGAGTAAAACTTTTCCCACAGTCGAGGCATTTGTAGATTCTCTCTCCCGTGTGGATTCTCTGATGTTTAAGAAGGTCTGAGCTGTCACGGAAGCTTTTCCCACAATCCAAGCATTTATGGGGTTTCTCTCTTTTGTGGCTCATATCACGTGAAATCAGGTTTGAACTCTGAATGAAACTTTTCCCACAATCCAACCATTTATGGGGTTTCTCTCTTTTGTGGAGAATCTGATGTAAAATCAGGTTTGATCGCTGAGTGAAACTCTCTCCACAGTCCAAGCATTTATAGGTTTTCTCTCCTGTGTGGATTTTCTGGTGTGTAGTAAGGGCTGATCTCCGAATGAAGCTTTTCCCACAGTAGAGGCATTTGTGGGGTTTCTCTCCAGTATGGATTTTCTGATGTCTTGTAAGGGTTGATCTTTGAGTAAAACTTTTCCCACAGTCGAGGCATTTGTAGATTCTCTCTCCCGTGTGGATTCTCTGATGTTTAAGAAGGTCTGAGCTGTCACGGAAGCTTTTCCCACAATCCAAGCATTTATGGGGTTTCTCTCCTTTGTGGATCATCTCATGTGAAATCAGGTTTGATCGCTGAGTGAAACTTTCCCCACAATCCAAGCATTTATAGAGTTTCTCTCCTGTGTGGATTTTCTGGTGTGTAGTAAGGGCTGATCGCTGAATGAAGCTTTTCCCACAGTCCAAGCACTTGTGGGGTTTCTCTCCTGTGTGGATTTTCTCATGTGAACTAAGGGTTGATCTGTGAGCAAAACTTTTCCCACAGTCGAGGCATTTGTAGATTCTCTCTCCCGTGTGGATTCTCTGATGTTTAAGAAGGTCTGAGCTGTCACGGAAGCTTTTCCCACAATCCAAGCATTTATGGGGTTTCTCTCCTTTGTGGATCATCTCATGTGAAATCAGGTTTGATCGCTGAGTGAAACTTTCCCCACAATCCAAGCATTTATAGAGTTTCTCTCCTGTGTGGATTTTCTGGTGTGTAGTAAGGGCTGATCGCTGAATGAAGCTTTTCCCACAGTCCAAGCACTTGTGGGGTTTCTCTCCTGTGTGGATTTTCTCATGTGAACTAAGGGTTGATCTGTGAGCAAAACTTTTCCCACAGTCGAGGCATTTGTGAGGTTTATCTCCAGTGTGGATTCTCTGATGTCTGATAAGGATGGATCTCTGAGCGAAACTGTTCCCACAGTTGAGACACTTATAGGGTCTCTCTCCTGTGTGCACTCTCTGATGCGTAATAAGGTGTGAGCTCTGACTGAAGCTTTTCCCACAGTCCAGGCATTTATAAGGTCTCTCTCCTGTGTGGATTCTCTGGTGAGTGATAAGGTTCGATTTCTGATTGAAACTTTTCCCACAGTTGAGACACTTATAGGGTTTCTCTTCCTTGTGATTTGTCTGCAGGGCTGTGGTTTCCCTGGGGTCCTTGCATCCTGCCCCACATTCAACGGATTCATCAGCTTTCTTTATTGGGTGGTTTCCCAGCTGCCTCTCTGATCTCTGCTGACTCCTCCAAGCTTTTCCCTGTTCCAAGGATTGGGAAAAATTCCCTTCAGCTCTTCTCAAAAAGTTCCCCTGCAATTCCACTTGCTCGGGATCTTCCTCTTGTGGATTCTTCTCCTTGTTCTCATTCATCATCGTCTCATCAACTGCTAGGGGAGAGAGAGAATCCAGACAGGAGTCATTCCCTATGTCAGGGAGAAAGGACAAAACGGGGAACAGCACAGAGGGGAAAACACAACAGTGTCTGTTGCGGAGATGGAGAAATTGGATTCTGCCTCCACATCCCATCTACACACTGCCAGGCAAGAAAAGTCAGGGAGGAAACTCCATACAGCTAAAGGATGGGTGGGAAGCCATAGGTGATATCTGCCATGATGATACCATACCGGCTGGCTACAGCCTGACTGGGTGGGGTGAAACACACCCCGGGGAGCTCGCCAACAGCCCACCTTTGGGAGTCTCAGCTTTTTCATTCACTTGCCAGATGGTTTGTGTGTCAGTGTAACCGATTCCTCACCTGTGTGGCTGCCTCTTGGGATCTCCGATTCCTCAGAGGTCTGAATATCCGGGACCCACGGCTGTTCCCCTCGTTCCAGCCGGGCGATCAAGTCAGGTTTGGGAATGGGAAATCCTGCTCAGAGAGGGAAATCAGGAAGATGAGGGTGTATTTCGAGTATTGACAGTGTATCTGTCACAGAGAACATTCCCTGAGTTTAACCTGCCCCATGCTGAGCTGGGGGATTGTGGAATCGCAAAGGGTGGGAACATGGTCACTGTAATTATGCAGATGTAGAATCTGAACAGATGGGAACATGGCCACTAAGCCCCCAGGGAGAGGCAGATGTCTGTGTGGGGGAGGAGCTGTCACAGCCTCACTGGGGGCTTCCAGGATCTGTACACTCTGGGGGACTTGCTGATGAAGACACAGCTCTGGTGTCAAACCCCTGCCTAGTTCTAAACCTCCAGAGCCCTCTGGCTGGAGCCAGTCCCAACAAGGGAGGATCATAGTGGATGGTGAGACACAAGGTGGGTGACGTAATAGCTTTTCTTGGGCCAACTCCTGTGGGTGAACATAAGAACAGCCACACTGGGTCAGACCAAAGGTCCATCTAGCCCAGTGTCCTGTCTTCCGACAGCAGCCAATGCCAACTGCTTCAGAGGGAATGAACAGAACAGGTGATCATCAAGTGATCCAAAACAAAATAACAAGCTTCAAAAGCTTCTCTCTTTCACCAACCAAATTTGGTCCAACCAAAGGTATTGCCTTCCCCACTTTGTGTCCATCTATCCTGGGTTCAATGGGGCCACACCAACAGTACAGACAGGATCATACCCTGCTTCTGCCTCTTTGAAAGCTGGATGGCTGGGGATGAATGAGTGTGCCCATTAGGTTTATGACTCCCCGATCCCATTGGAGAGGGCATGGAGAGATGAAAGTCTCTCTCACACTAGATCTATGGACTCTGGGATCCATTACCCTCTGATCTAACTGAGTAGGGAAGAACTAACCAGATCACGCAGACAGCTCAGCTTGTAATAATTAAGAGCACAGGAATCCCTTACCCAGTGAGGTCACCATCTTGTAGTTCTCCTGCATGACGTCCCTGTAGAGGGCTCTCTGAGAGGGGTCCAGCAGAGGCCCCTGCCCCTTGGTGAAATACACAGCCACCTCCTCGAAGGTCACCGGCATCTGAAACAACAAGAGTCCCCCACTTAGCACCTGCTGCCCCAGCCACAATCCCAGTAGTCACGCTGGAGGAAAGATAAAGAAATGGAAGCTCTGGGAAGACCAGAGTAGCAGAATCCCACCCCCACCCAGCTCAGAACAGCCAGGAGGCTTCCAGGGGTGGGGAGAAGGTGAGAACTCCTTGTTCCCCCAGCAGATGGAGCAGGGCAGGGTCATTTCCCACACACCTGCCAGCCACAGGCTGATACAGGAAGCAGAGCTCTGCGGGGACAGGGACAGGAATCCCAACAGCGTCCCTTCGTATTTCACAGCAGCCTCCGGCCAGTGGGGTCAGGCTCCAGCACTGGGAGTCTGGTCAGTTTTCCCAGCCCTGCCCAGGAGACTGTTTCCTGTTTCAGAAATGGGGGAATGTTCCCCCCTGACAATGGGCCTGTTCAGAAAATCAGACCCAGGTTGAACGTATCCCAGCTGGTTTGTCACATGCTGGCCCCTCCCTGCCTCACGTGTGTGTTTCCTGCCCCTCCCCCTCTGCAGCAACTGCCCCTGCAGCTCCCTGAAAATCCCCTACCTGAGCTGGCTCCATCACAGCCATTTTCCTTCCCTGTCCCCTGGAAGACGGGAGGATCTGGAGCGAAATGTAGACACCTCAGCCTGTCAGGGCGAGAGGGGTGATGGAGGAGATTTCAGAAGGGGCTTGAGTCCATTTCACACCCCGATTCCCCCCAGGCTCTCTCCCTGCAGACTGGTCCTGCAGGTCCGGCTCAGGATTTGGTGAAGGCAGAGCTCAGGACTCCCCCCGGGGCTGGTTCCAGCCACCAGAGAAAGTCCCCACCTGGGCTGGGCACAGAGGGGGGTTAATGCAGGTCTCTTCCCAGTACAGATCCTGCTGGGGGAGCAGCAGCTGCTCAGTCTGGAGGAGGCAGCAGCATCTGTCCCAGGAAGCTCAACTCCCGGGCTCTAATACCAGGAGCAGACAGAGAGAGACATACCCACCTCCTCCTCTCCCTTAGCAATAGCCAGAGCCCTCTAGGCCGGTGACAACCAGGG